CAGCTGTCAGGGATAATAATAATAATAATAATAATAATATGTCATAGAGCATCAATTCTCTCTCTTTCTCTCTCTCTCTCTCTCTCTCTCTCTCTCTCACCTGCTCGAAAGGTGTCCACAACCTGGCGTCTGACCAACACATGGTGACGTCATCCCCGGGTGGTTCCATACACACATCCTGAGGTGGTGCCGTCGGTGGCGTGGCTGTGGCTGTCTCCTGACCCAGCTGTTGTCCACCACTGACCCCGAAACCAGTCACCTCAGCCTGCGTCAGGATGTTCCTTATGGGGAGGTGGTGGTTGGTGGTGGAGATGGAAAAAGGTTGTTATTGTTGGTGGTGGTGAAGGTGGAGATGGAAGAGATTGTTGGTGGTGGTGGAGAGTGAATGAGAGAGAGGCACGGACATCATCAAAATACATAACACGACAGCTGGTGATTAGGTTAAGTTAGGTTAGGTTAGGTTAGGTTAGGTTAAGTTAGGTACTTGTATATACAATAAATCATAGATACTCCCCAAATATATTCCTGTATTAGGAAAACCGTAAATTGAGACGTGAAATATAAAGAGACAAATGACCGAGAAATGGTGAAGCGATGAGGAGGGAGGAGTGAAGAAAGAAGCTATGATGATGATATTGATGATTAGGAAGAAGACGCTGAGAATAATGTACAAATAAGTGCCAACAACCAGAGATAATACGCTTCATAAATCCCTCACTCCTCCACTCACTAACTCCTTTCCTCTCCTCACTCCTCCCTCTCTCCTCACTCACTCCTCCTCCTCTCTCTCCTCCCCTATACAGGTAAAGTTAAGAGCCAGATTAATCAGTGAATTTCTTGTGCATCAGAGGATCGATGGATGGCTCAGGCTGGATGGATGAATGGATGGGCCAGGATGGATGAATGGGCCAGGCTGGATGGATGGATCTGGATGGATGAATGGATGGGCCAGGATGGATGGGTCAGGATGGATGGGTCAAGATGGATGGGCCGGGATGGATGGGCCAGGATGGATGGGTCAGGATGGATGGGGCCAGGATGGATGGGCCAGGATGGATGGGTCAGGATGGATGGGTCAAGATGGATGGGCCAGGATGGATGGGCGGATGGATGGGTCAGGATGGATGGGCCAGGATGGATGGGTCAGGATGGATGGGTCAAGATGGATGGCTGACCACTGGCTCACTCTGGTGTTTTAAGTGGTTTTAATTTAATGTGAGGTTTGAGACAGGTGTGGGTTGATTATGACAGGTGTGGACAGGTAAATTATGACAGGATGTGGACGGGTAGATTATGACAGGTGTGGGTTGATTATGACAAGTGTGACAGAGCCAGCGACTCACCTGACGGAATCGTTTTATCGGAGCTTCTTTCATGGCGGTGTGACGCTCAGGTGGCGGCGTCGTAGGTGAAGATAGAGTCTGTGCCAGGTGATGGTAATTAGCTCAGGTATAGGACACACACACACACACACACACACACACACACACACACACACACACACACACACACACACACACACACACACACACAAGCTTCATCCTGACCTGACATATATTGTTGTTGTCTGTATTGTCGCTACTATTGCTACTGCCGCTACTGTTGCTGCTACTGTCGCTACTGTGTCCCATACAGCTGACGGTCTCCCACAAGACTTGAGAACGTACCCACACACACACACACACACACACACACACACACACACACACACACACACACACACACACACACCGTTTTCCTCTTCACTGATTGCCACAAGAGTATTACAACAGGTGTCCAGGGAGCTCAATTTACCTGTGACTGATGATTTTAGAGCCATATTCTCTCTCTCTCTCTCTCTCTCTCTCTCTCTCTCTCTCTCTCCATAGAACTCGACGGAATTTCTGTATATATAAAACAACAATATTTCCTTAGGAATAATATTCTCCCCTAACACTGGACAAATTTCCTCCCTGGAGATAACAAATTTCCCTGCCATAGTTCCCCACCGCCCACCCACCCACTCACCCTTTTCCCACCCACCCACCCCTTATCTGCCCCCACCCTTACCGTCTTTCCCACCCACACTTCTGGCCAGCAGAATCTGGCAAGATGTAGAACGACCAGAGCAGAACTCCTTCAAAGACTCACCAGACAACGACAACAACCATACATGGTTCCCAAAAGTTACCAAATCTCAAAGGTCATTACCACCCCCGATCTATACGGTCAGGCAATAGACAACCTCCCTAGACCAGCATCCGCCAGTAGGTTCGGCGGAATATGAAATATGGCCCTTAAAACACCCATATATGGGACAGGGTAGGATGTCTAGTGCCTGTACCGACAGACAATAACTAACCCATGACACAACCCTAACACCATTAGCTCAGCTAGGCGGTCAGCCAGCCCCTCTTACTTCTTCCTAAATTTTTAAATTTCCGAACTGTAACTTTCTTCCCCCACCTCTAATCTTCCTTCTCACCCCTCCCTCTACACAAAAACACCCACTAACCCTCCACCGCCTTTACTCAAACCTGGAAGCTGCGACAGTTTCCCTCTGTTAACCAGCATAATTGTGCCCCTGTTGTTATTTCTTCTCTTCTCTCTCCATTCTCTCACCTCCTTCCGTTTTGTATTTTTTTCCCGTTCGTATTTTTGTTTCTCTCTCTTCTTCTGTGTTATTTATTTTTTCCTTCCTCCTCCTCTCTTCCTCCTCCTCCTTTCTCTTCCTTTTCCTCCTCCTCTCTTTCTGACTTCCTTCCGTTATCTTTGCTTTCATTTCCTTGATTTTGTTTTTCTTCTTCTTCTTCCTCCTCCCATAATCTCTTCCCTTACACCACTCCACCTTCCCTCCGGCCTCCACCTTCCTCCCGGCCTTCCACCTTCGGCCTCCTCCACCTTCCTCTCCCGGCCCTCCACCTTCTCCCGGCCTCCACCTTCCCTCCGGCCTCCACCTCCTCCGGCCTCCACCTTCCCTCCGGCCCTCCACCTTCCTCCCGGCCCTCCACCTTCCCTCCTATTAACCTCAGATGAACCCATTTGGACTTGGTCCTTCCTGTCCTCACCAGCCAATCGTCGCCTTTTATTTTGTCTTCGTCTTCTTGTGCGTCTCTCCTTGTGCGTCTTGCGTCACTTGGTGTTTCCTGTGCGGCTTGCGTCACCTTGTGTTTTGCGTCACCTGGTGTTTCTTGTGAGTCTTAGGTTACCTGATGTCTCCTGTGCGTCTTGCGTGGGTTTTGTGCGTCTTGTGTCACCTAGTGTCTTGTGCGTCATGCGTCATCTGGTGGCTTGTGAGTCTTGCATCATCTACTGTTTCTTGTACGTCTCGCATCGCCGCGTGTTTCCTTTGTGTCTTGCTTCACCTAGTGCGTCATGTGTCACCTGGCGTGTATTGTGCGTCTTGCGTGGACCTGGTGTGTGTAGAGAGGCGTGTAGAGCTACGGACGGAGGCGTGGGTGACGAAGAGACTTAGGGGGTACTTGTAAGCCAGACCTACGGCCTAGAAACAGTGCGTTAATGTTCAAAGGCGGAACAGAGTGTTGGGTTTTATATCTAGAAGTGTAAGTAACAAGAGTGCAGAGGTCTTATTGCAACTATATCTTGCGCTAGTCAGGCCGCACCTCGATTATGCGGTTCAGTTCTGGTGCCCTATTATAGAATGGTTATCAATTCACTGGAGTCGGTGCAGCGAAGAATGACAAAATGATTCCGGGACTTAGAAACCTTCCATATCAGGATAGATTAAAGAAACTAAACTTGCATTCCTAGAAAGACGAAGAGTGGCGGGAGATATGATAGAAGTATTTAAGTGGGTGAAAGGAATCAATAAAGGATATAGACACACACACACACACACACACACACACACACACACACACACACACACACACACACACACACACACACACACACACACACATTAATATTATTATTTTTACGTGAATGTGTGTTTTTGTGCGTAAGGGTGTGTAAGCATACGTGTGTGTGTGTGTGTGTGTGTGTGTGTGTGTGCACAGGCCCGGACGACACCTGAGAAAGGTATGCGTGGAGAATTTAATAAAGACGGAAGGTGAGAGATAGGTGAGGGTGGGGAGCACATACAGGAACCTTACAGTGTGGGAGGGAGGGAGAGGGGGAGGGTTGAAGAGGGTGGGAATGAGGGGAGAGGGGGGAGGGAGGGTTGAAGAGGGTGGGAGGGAGGGAGGGAGAGAGGAGGAGGGGGAGGGAGGGATAGGAGGGTTGAAGAGGGGGAGGGAGGGAGAGGAGAGGGAGGGGAGGGTTGAAGAGGGTGGGAGGGAGGGAGAGGGAGAGGGGAGGGGAGGTTGAAGAGGGTGGGAGGGAGGGAGGGGAGAGAGAGAGGGAGGAAGGGGGGAGAGGGGGAGGGGTAGAGGAGGGAGGGAGGGAGGGGAGGGGGGGGAGGAGGAGGGAGGTTGGAGGAGGTAAAAAGAGAGCGAGAGGTAAGGAGGTGTTGGAGGAAGAGAGAAGGAGAGAGAGGGGGGGGTGGGAGGGAGAAATATGAAGGTAAAATGGAGGAAAACACACACACACACACTCTCTCTCTCTCTCTTCTCCGTATGTGGTGTGGTAGGCAGGATATTACACCTTCTCTCCAGTATTACCAACGGCCACTTGACACTGACGTCCCCCGGCCTATGCGAGAATGTATATTGTGTACAAGTGTTGATTTGGGGCATAAAGTGACGTTTAGTGCGGAAGTGGAGTGGGGGGTGGAATATTCTCTCTCTCTCTCTCTCTCTCTCTCTCTCTCTGAAAATCCACCTTTGTCTGATGGCTTGAGGGAGACCACTAGATGCGTTCTCATATCTCCAATTAGCCGACAAGAGAAACGTAATCTACGGACCTTAGAGAATTCTCCTTGAGTTCCTTAATAACTTTTCCTTTATCTCTTATTTAGTGTGAGATAATGAGATAGATACAGAGACCCATTTTTGTTGGTGTTCTTGTTATAAAAGGATAATTTATTTGTGTTTTTGCGTCGCCACCGAAAGGAGAATTGG